CTGACAACCGATCCTCCTTGCATAAGCTGCGCAGTTTTGTTTTCACCAGCTTCATACATTATATCTATCATATATCTATCATGGTAGTTCTGGATGAGTTCTCCTTTAAGATACATTTACCTAACGCTAGAATAAATGAAATGTACATCATGCAGCAGAGGAAATAAGAAAATCAGACATATATCCATTATGGAGATGATAGGTTTTTGACGGGCGATGTGCCCCTATTGCATAAGTAATACTGAAGAATGTCCTATCATTAACGACACAGGGAAGCTTTTTAGTTATCTTGCTTTGCTAGCAAAGTCATTAGCTAGCAGCTAGCTCATAGCACAAGAACAACAGCCTAATGTCTGTATGATAAAAATACTGAATCGATAGATAAGAACAGCTTTTCCTCACCTGGCTGTCTCCTCCCGCTCAGTAGTTCTTCAGAGAAAGGCGCACCGCGTCCTATACTTTCCTCCGTTTAAACCGCTACTCTTTGCTAAAGTAGAGAAATTATACAACGTTCAAAGTTTTCCGTTGTCTGACAAGTAGGAAGCCTACTCCAGTATTTTCACAAAAAATTATGTTTTTTAATTCACAAAAAAACTGTTCTGTAATCATTACAGAATAGTTTTTTTGTGAATTAAAAAACATAATTTTCAATGTAAAAGACTAAAAGCACAGAGTAAACAGTGTTTTAGATCAAACAATACTGCATCATCCATGGGGCTCATTTGGTTTCACTTACATCTCTATTCAGGTTGACATTGGAGAGGCGGTGCAGACTGAAGACAGCCATCCGTCCGATCATGGTTGATCTTGCTTAGGGCCGAATGAGGCCACGGTGTAATGTGGAATGTTCGCTACCTTTAGCTCCGCAGTTAGCCGCCTTATCTGACTGTGCGAGAGGCAAGTGCGTCGTCACCGGCAAAAGGTCAAAGGTAACAATGTGACCGGAGGGCTTATTGTATTGTTTTTCTTGCCAAAAAAAAAGCTAATAATAATAATTTCAGTAAATGTTTAAAAAAAAAAAAAAAAAAAAAAGGGACCAAAAGGGCACATTGGGATCATGGAGCAAAAGGGGCAGGTGCTCAAGCCCCCTTAGCCCCCCCCTCTGCACGTGCCTGTTCTCTATTCTCCCACTCTGCAGAATCTGTTAGTTCAATCTCTAACGTTCTGCTCTCTCTGCTTTTTCTCATAGTAGCTTCATCTGGTCTGTTCCTGTTTGGCTGTGACTCCATCCTGGAGAGAAATATCAGCTGTGCTGCTGCCATCAACACCTTTGTTTCTAGATGTTGGAGCTTGGCCTGTTTTCCAGTGTAGTCCTGTTTCTCTGACTGTGACTAACTGGATGTGCTCTCTTCATCCTCTGACATGGGAGCTGGCTCGGAGCTCGTCTGCCTGGCTGTGTGTTTCCTGGACGGGGCCGCCTGTGGAGCTGGTTGACAGTTGCCTTTTGTATCTATGCTTCTTTTTCTATGTCTGCTTCTGTCTCCTTGAACCCCAGTGGGCCTCAGCAGATGGCCGCTCACACTGAGCCTGGTTCTGCTGGAGGTTTCTTCCTGTTCAAAGGGAGTTTTTCCTCTCCACTGTCGCTACAAGCATGCTTAGTGTGAGGGATTGCTGAAGAGTCAATGAGTCGATGCAATCAGCTGGTTTTCCTTAGATAGAAAACTTTGAATCAATCTGACTGGATGATCTGGTGAACTGGAAAGTGGCCTGAGATGACATGATGTGAATTGGAGCTATAGAAATAAACTGAATAGAATAGAAAATCGTATTTTATTGCTTTTATCTGTGATTTTAATATGTTTACATAAAATGAATTTAGTTTTGCAGGTTTATTAGCAGCCTAATGTCCATGTATGAAAAAGTAAAAATAACTATAAAACCGTTGATGTATAGATATGAAATAACATAAAATATGTACATTCAAGCAATCTTATGACTCTTGAAGGCGAGGGAAGGTTACCAACAAAAATTATTATTTTAAAATGAACCAGATTTTTCTCACTGGGCTGAAATGTTTCCTCATGAAAATGCTTGATTTTTTTAACTGTCATCAACAACTTAAACTGCTCTCCTCCTACATTAGTAGCTGGATGTGCTCCTTCCAGGGACTGACACTCATTAGGCGGTAGCTTGTGTGTGGCAGTTACCATAGCAACAATGCATGCTGATGACGCACCCATATGCCCAAACCCTCAAGCTTATTTTTTTTTCAACTGAAATAGCTGCGTTATTTTTCACTTTTCAAATATAAAACACCTGACAGGTTTCATGGGAGACCTGGATCATCATCTTACAGTCAGTTTCACTGTATTATACTTTATTTTTTAGTTTATATATCCCAAGTTAAGCCTGGTTTATTCTCAGAGACCAGGTCGTCTGTGTGTCAAAGTTCATGCAGATATGTTCCCCCTTCTGTAGACACTCTGTTGCACCTCTCCAAAATTGTAGGTGACCGCAGACCGAGCCACAGATAGCGTCGCAGGGAGGAGATAAAGGAGGCCTCTGATTGGTCCATTCTACATCCGCTCTACACTATTTCCTGTTTGTCACCTAATGTCAGAAACTCTGGCTGTAGCGGCGTCCACAGCGCCTGGGACACCTGGGACTCTATCCCAGACACCGTGCAGGATGCTAGTTTGTACCTCTGTGCAACGGTCTGTTGGTTTGCACTCAAAGCCAAAACACGCAGCGCCACGGCCAGTCTTTGGGGAACGCTCACGGGGGAACTGTGTGGCGTCCGGCGTTAGATGAAGGGTTGTGGATGGCAAACAAATTCATTAAACCGACACACAGACCCATAATCCTAGCCAGTTCCTGATTGTCCCTCTTGTGTTGTGGCGTGGAATAACAGCGCAGACCGCGCTTTAATATTGGGTATACAGGTGCTGGTCATAAAATTAGAATATCATGAAAAAGTAGATTGATTTCAGTAATTCCATTCAGATGTTTATTTTGTTTAATTTTGATGATTACAAATGACAACAAATGAAAATCCCAAATTCATCATATCAGAAAATTAGAATATTACTGAAGACCAATAAAAACAAAGGATTTATAGAAATGTTGGCCAACTGAAAAGTATGAACATGAAAAGTATGAGCATGTACAGCACTCAGTATTTAGTTGGGCCTCCTTTGGCCTGTATTACTGCAGCAATGCGGCGTGGCATGGAGTCGATCAGTCTGTGGCACTGCTCAGGTGTTATGATAGCCCAGGTTGCTCTAATAGTGGCTTTTAGCTCTTCTGAATTGTTGGGTCTGGTGTATTGCATCTTCTTCTTCACAATACCCCATAGATTTTCTATGGGGTTAAGGTCAGGAGAGTTTGCTGGCTAATTAAGAACAGGGATACCATGGTCCTTCAACCAGGTACTGGTAGCTTTGGCACTGTGTGCAGGTGCCAAGTCCTGTTGGAAAATGAAATCTGCATCTCCAAAAAGTTGGTCAGCTGCAGGAAGCATGAAGTGCTCTAAAACTTCCTGGTATGTGGCTGCGTTGACCCTGGACCTCAGAAAACACAATGGACCAACACCAGCAGATGACATGGCACCCCAAACCATCACTGACTGTGGAAACTTTACACTGGACTTCAAGCAACGTGGATGAAGTGCCTCTCTTCTTTTCCTCCAGACTCTGGGACCTTGATTTCCAAAGGAAATGCAAAATTTACTTTCATCAGAGAACATGACTTTGGACCACTCACCAGCAGTCCAGTCCTGTTTCTCTTTAGCCCAGGCAAGACGCTTCTGACGCTGTCTGTGGTTCAAGAGTGGCTTGACACAAGGAATGCGACAGCAGAAACCCATGTCTTTCATACGTCTGTGTGTGGTGGTTCTTGAAGCACTCACTCCAGCTGCAGTCCACTCTTTGTGAATCTCCCCCACATTTTTGAATGGGTTTTGTTTCACAATCCTCTCCAGGGTGCGGTTATCTCTCTTGCTTGTACACTTTTTTCGACCACATCTTTTCCTTCCCTTCGCCTCTCTATTAATGTGCTTGGACACTGAGCTCTGTGAACAGCCAGCCTCTTTAGCGATGACCTTTTGTGTCTTGCCCTCCTTGTGCAAGGTGTCGATGGTCGTCTTTTGGACAACTGTCAAGTCAGCAGTCTTCCCCATGATTGTGTAGCCTATAGAACTAGACTGAAAGACCATTTAAAGGCTTTTGCAGGTGGTTTGAGTTAATTAGCTGATTAGAGTGTGGCACCAGGGGCCATCAATTTTGAACCTTTTCACAATATTCTAATTTTCTGATATGATGAATTTGAGATTTTCATTTGTTGTCATTTGTAATCATCAAAATTAAACAAAATAAACATCTGAAATATATGAGTTTGTATGTAATGTATGAATATAATATACAAGTTTCACTTTTTAAATGGAATTACTGAAATCAATCTACTTTTTCATGATATTCTAATTTTATGACCAGCACCTGTATAAGGTAAGATGACATTCTGATCTAAAAAATTGTTATTTGGACTGTGACTGCTGTCTTGGAATAAAAAAAGAGGTGTGATTATTTCATGAATTATACATTTATCTAAACAATGCTTAAATTAGCCTGAAAATAGATGAAATGGTAAAGAAAATGACATTAAATGCTCAATTAAAATGGCAATATCATGGACTAGGTATTAATGACACTGGAAAAAGTAACCTTACAGTATCTTATATCCTTGAAGTTTTTTTGTTTATTTTAACCAAGATATTTAGATCAATTTGTTACACACTGTAGTTTTACTATTAAATGAGTCTCTTGGTTTTCTGTCTGAAATATTTTATTATAGACAACTTTATGCTTAAAGCCTTGGTCTATTGAAAACTGTTTTCCATTTTTATATATTTTTTGAAAACTGAAATTTCATGTACAATAATGAATCTAGATATATATTTTAGGTTAACCAATGAGAATAAGTCTCTCAACCTTAGATAAGATGTACTCTTGTACAAATATATTTTTACATATATATTTATGTGTGTTTGTTTTTATTCACAGATTATTGTGAAATGGCCGCTCCAGTGAAACTCAGAATCATCCTTGGGGAAAATGATTCCCAGAGACTAACCCTGCAAGAGGGGATTCCAGAGACTGTTGGTGAACTTGTTCAGCACATAAAGAGGCAGTGTGGGGTAGAGGACCACTTCAGGCTGCAATTTATGGATGCTGAGTTTGGCAATGAGTTTACCAACTTGACGTCAGTGTCAGAGATCCAGGACAAAAGTACCTTAAAGCTTGTCTTTGATTCAGCTGCCTCTGCCCTGCCTGATGTCACAACCCCCCCACCCTACTCCACTCCTGCCACATCAGGGTCTGGTGAGTCATCACGTTCATCTGGTAGCTTGTGTGATACGGACATTTTGTCCTCTCCTGAGTCCAACCCTTCAAGATCCTCTGGATGGCCTGTTGTTTTTCTTGTTCCTAAATTCCCATATGATTGTGAGCTGCAGCTGGACAAAGCCAATGCTGCATTCAAAGAAAGCGGAACTTTATTGAATCCAGACATGAGGCTTAAAACTGCCATTCTTGACAGTTTAGCTGAAAAAATTGTTCAGTACAAAGTGTATCCCTCAGACAATGAGTTTGAAGAGGTTGCCGAAGCCCTTGTGTCATCCCATCCATGTTTGAAAGAGCCAGGCTCTGCCACTGGATATGGTGGCTGGAAGGTGAGCTTAAAGTACAAACTTGCTAACTACAGCAGGAAGCTCAAGCGGCTTGGATGTCCAGAGGTTGAACTTAATTCGCTGACAAATAAACCTGCAGATAAATGCAGTGCTGCTTATGGTGTGAAGAAGCCCAGAAGAGCGGAAGTTAATTACTGCCCCACCTACCCATCTGGTGAATCCGCAGAGACACTTGAAAAGATAAGAGAGACCCTGCTTTTAGAAGTAAGGAAAAGGAACAATGAAGACACAGTGGCAGCAATGATGGACAAGACCTTTGCACACAGAAGGCAAGAAGTTATTCGTGATGAACCCTTGATTGCTGATATAAAAACCAGATGGCCGGCTCTCTTCTGTGTGCGTGAGGTAGGTGAATAAATGCACAGCACTCATTCACTTTGACTGAAATATGTGCAGTGTGATTTATATCAGCCAACAAAATATGGGCTAGCCTTGGAAATAACTTGTAAGATGATTCAGGATTTGGTGATAGATGACAATTGTTAAGCTAGTCGGTCATTTCAATGCTATGATAGTTAAATTTACTTTTGTGTACCCTTTTTTCTGTTTAAGCTAACTGCTGAATTCAAGAGGATTACAACCGTCAGTTTGCTGTCAAAGTTCTTCTCCCAGCTGGATGCTCATTCTTCAAACTTGATGAGGGTGTTTGGCAAGAAAGGCGGCGTTCAAGGAAGAAAGATAAGAAGCATCATGATACCCATCACCAAGGTATGATAATAGAATAAAATAGAAATTGTCAAACCTGTACCGATTCAATATTCTAAACTTCATGCTTGAAATTTAAAGCGGAAGTTTCAGAGGGATGGGGAGAAATAAAACTAGATGGAGAGGGGGTAATGTACTTTTATGAAGAAGGATCTGATAAAATATTAACCTTGGGCAGATGTGACAATGTCCACTGATGTTACAATGGTAGGTACTGTTTCTGGGGAGCACATGCTTACATTTGACATATTTCTATGATGAAATGTCTTGCTGGGACATAAAACCAATGCACCCATGGATATTGTAAGTTCATATACTGCATCATAAAAATTGTCAACGATTGTTACATTTCGAAGAATGTATAGTTTAAAGTTTTGTTTGTAAAATCTTCTACCAGTTGATTAAAATGTTTTATCTTTTATTTATTGTCCTACATACTCAGACTGACGCCATTGATGTCAAAAGAGAGTGCATCATCAAAGCCCTGTGTGTGTACCTGAATGAAGAGCCCGAGAACCTTGTGAAAGAATACATGGTATGTAATTTAGTGTGTGTGTGTTTAAAAATGGGACCAGTATAACATATCTTTACATGTATATCCTCTATTTCCCCCTTTTTTCTGTGAAGAACACAGATGGAGGGAGCAGTGAAGCTGCAATGATGGAGACGACATTTGGAATATTTGTCATTCGCAAGGAAGGTGCAGAGCCAGGTGATGGACCGGAAGATGTAGGTATAGTTCTGGATGGGCTGGGAAACGTGCCACTTGCTGTGGTCATGTTGTTTGCGCTTGTATATGCGCTTAACCTCAGCTACCCGCCAGAGCTCAGATACACCTTTGAAGCTTTGCAGAAGATCATCATGGAGCTTGATGGAAACAGACTCTCAAAAAAAAATCAAACACTGAAAACTCTACTTGCGTGTTAGTCACCCTCAATAGAGTAAACTACAGGTTTGGAGTTACTCTAATGGGAAGGCATTTGAAGCCATTTGAGTATTTACTGAAATGGAAGCTGTGTTTGTGTTGTAATAAATCTTGTTGTATTTTGGGTTTACAAAATAGAATGTTTTGAAATGTTTCTTTAAGCAAAGGTAAGGTTTTAAAACAAATTTTTATTCTCTAAAGAAAACTTTTGATATGCATGCATAATGCTGTATTTTGGTTCTCAAATATTGTTCTTTGTACTCAGTTGACAGGACCACTTTGTGTATGACTTTGTAAAGAGCTTTGCAGAAAGCTCTAAATATAGACACCTAATGACTGGGGGCTCCAATTTCCTAACTCAGGAGTTACAACTTTTGTTTGTCTGTTGTTGTTTTTTTTACAGACATGATTTTGGACACTGTTTCAAGCTGTATTGTTTGTTGTGTTTTAACAGCATCAGTTTTAAAGTAAAGTGATTTCAGCAAATTCAATTTAGTTCATGTTTTTCTTTTCCAAACTTGACACCAGCTGGGGGTATATAGGCTGACATTTACATTATAAATAGCTGAATATGTTAAAAATTATTTATTTTCTGAATAATTACTTATGTTCATTTTCATATGATAAAGTTCATCTCTTACATAACTTTGTTTAGTTGGCTCAGCACAATAAATTCATGTACTGTACTATTTTTGAAAAGTAGTTGTAACTACCCTATTAAATTATGTACCTAATAATCCTATTATACAAGTTTAAATGGCTTAAGAAAATTACGTTAGTGTGTTACATTTACCCATACTAATCTAGTTGGACTGACACCTAGTAATTAAGTAATAGTAATGCAAATACATCATGTTGACCCAACATATTTACACTTTGTTCACTTAACAAAATTGCTTCTCGCTAAATTAATGCATTTTATTTAGGTGGAAATTATTTCCATAATTTTATTACGTTCTGTGAACAAGTTTTTTTTTTGAGTGCAGAAAGCTGTTTATCTTACATTAGGAATAAATCCAGTGAGGGATTTCCTCTCATTTATCACTTCCTTCACTTTTTCATATGAAAATATCTCAGGTGGTTTAAGCGTTTTAAGTACAGTGGAAGTTTTCTGAGTTTGAAACAACAGTGCTCAATATGGCCAAGTCTCTTTATCAGACATCTGCCATGTTCCAACAATGGTTGTTGTTAAAATGTATGGCATGTTCCTCATTATAAAGCCTTTGACTGAAGGCAGAAGCCATCTCGCCTTGTTTCAACTTACGCTTCTCAGCACTGGTCACCAAAGTTGCACCTGCTCATTATGAAGCTATAAGCAACATAAAGACTCCCCATGAAAATCACACCCTTCAACACTGCAATCCCCGGTGGAGCAGGTCTCCAATTACATGTGTGAAGTCTCTTTACATTGCTCCACACTCAGCCGCTCAGATGAACTTCAGTCACTCGCAGCCTTGGGCAGTGGGAGGAGGTTAATGATTTGCTCTGCACCAGCTTCACGGAGCGCCACCATCCCCGATGTGGCTGATACCCCGACCATGACAACCATTAACATTCACTTGGAAGTTTTGTAATTAGACCAGTCTGACACACAAACAGGAAGGCAGGCATTGCTACTGCCATGTACCAAATAAGTTACCTAGGGTTTGGTAATTGGGGACCGCATCAAAAAAAGTAACTTGTCATTAGAAAAAAACAACATAACATCGTATCATATTAAAATTAGGACATATTGAGCCCAAATGAAATCTGGTTCTGTGGAGGGCTCACGCTATACTGTGCTTACAGAAACAAGGAACTAAGCGGTAAGACTCGGGGTGGTGGGCTCTGTGTTTACATCAACAACAGCTGGTGTAAAAATGCTGGATCAGTCACCAGCTTCTGCTCTCCAGACATCAAGTTTCTGACTGTTAACTGCAGGCCGTTCTATCTGCCCAGAGAGTTCAGTGTTGTTAGCATCACTGCTGTTTATGTGCCCCCCCCCCCCCCAGCACTAACACTAAAGAGGCCATGAAGACTCTATACCAGGCTATCTCTGAGCTCCAATCTGCACACAGAGGCTGTTTTCATCATTGCTGGGGATTTTAACCAGGCTAACTTCAAGACTGGTCTCCCTCATTTCTACCAACATGTGGACTTTGCAACTTTTTGGATTTGACCTCAGTTGTCTCATTAAATTTAAGATTCACCTAAGCCTCCTGGTCTCTTCATTTGGGTTCTGAAAAACCTCCACTCCACTGTGACAGTACGAACCGGCCAACTATGGACCCAGAAGAGCCCGGCCAGGAAGACTCAAAATACGACTTTGTCCTTAATATAAAGACTGCTCTGGACTCTATCGCCAACCTACTTCTTCCACACGCCTTTATTCCATAGAACTGTGTGCGCTATTTGAGGAGTCGGAGTGGAACCGTAAAGCTGCTGTCTCTCAGCTCTTTAATAAGCCCCCACCCCACCTCTACCACAACCTATCACATCACCAGCAGATGCTGCCAGCTTTAGTCCACCTCCCAACCAGGTCAGTTTTCACTTTGGTCTTAATCATCAACTCCATGAACAACAACTTCACGAACAAGTTGAACAATTTCATGAACAACTTCGCGAGTCAGAACACTCAATCCAGTTACCAAGATCGCACCCCTTGCAGTCAGAGCTCCTTGTTTCAAGGAGTCTCACTTATGGGGGTTTCTTTATGGGGAGAAAGAGGTTTGCTTAATTTCAAGACACCTCCATCAGCTCCTGAGTCAGAGCCACTTAGTGGACCAGACCCTGAGCCAGAGCCCTTTAGAGGGCCAGTTCCCAAGTCGGAACCCTTTAGAACAGGCATCCCCAACCTCTGTCCTCGAGGCCCGCTGTCCTGCAGGTGTTAGAGGTTTCCTTGCTCCACCACAGCTGATTTTAATTGAAAGCTGATTAACAGGCTTTTGTCTATTGCAATCATTATAATCAGCTGTGCTAAAGCAGGGAAACCTCTAAAACCTGCAGGACAGCGGGCCTAGAGGACCGAGGTTGGGGATGCCTGCTTTAGAGGGCCAGTTCCCAAGTCGGAGCCCTTTTCTATCTATAGAAAACCAGCTGACTGCATCGACTCAGTGTGACTGATTGCTGAAGAGTCAATAAGCATGCTTGTAGCGACAGTGGAGAGGAAAAACTCCCTTTTAACAGGAAGAAACCTCCAGCAGAACCAGGCTCAGTGTGAGCGGCCATCTGCTGAGGCCCACTGGGGTTCAAGGAGACAGAAGCAGACATAGAAAAAGAAGCATAGATACAAAAGGCAACTGCTAACCAGCTCCCCGTCCAGGAAACGCACAGCCAGGCAGACGAGCTCCGAGCCAGCTCCCATGTCAGAGGATGAAGAGAGCACATCCAGTTAGTCACAGTCAGAGAAACAGGACTACACTGGAAAACAGGCCAAGCTCCAACATCTAGAAACAAAGGTGTTGATGGCAGCAGCACAGCTGATATTTCTCTCCAGGATGGAGTCACAGCCAAACAGGAACAGACCAGATGAAGCTACTATGAGAAAAAGCAGAGAGAGCAGAACGTTAGAGATTGAACTAACAGATTCTGCAGAGTGGGAGAATAGAGATAGAATGAAGCAGAATGATGAAAAGGGGTCCCTATGTCCTCCAGCAGTCTAAGCCTATAGCAGCATAACTATAGAGATAGCTCAGGATAACCTGAGCCACCCTAACTATAAGCTTTATCAAAAAGGAAAGTTTTAAGCCTAGCCTTAAAAGTAGACAGGGTGTCTGCCTCACTGACTAAAACTGGTAGTTGGTTCCACAGGAGAGGAGCCTGATAACTAAAAGATCTGCCTCCCATTCTACTTTTAGAAATTCTAGGAACCACTAGTAAACCTGCAGATTGAGAGCGAAGTGCTCTGTTAGGAACATAAGGAACAATCAGATCTCTGATATCAGATGGAGCTTGGCCATTTAAGGCTTTATATGTGAGAAGGAGGATTTTAAATTCTATTCTTGATTTAACAGGAAGCCAATGAAGAGAAGCCAGGATAGGAGAGATATGATCTCTCTTTTTCATTTTCATCAGAACTCTGGCTGCAGCATTTTGGATCAGCTGAAGGCTTTTAACTACAGTTTGTGGACTTCCTGATAGTAAAGAATTACAATAGTCCAGCCTTGAAGTAACAAATGCATGGACTAGTTTCTCACTATCAGTTATTAACGCCAAGACTTTATACTTTACTGTATGTATATATACTATATATATAAGTATACATATATTTACACATTGTTATTCTATTTTCACTTTTTTATCAAGTTTCATGAATTCATTTAACAGATCGCATTACCTTCTCTTCAAGTCCCAGGACCAACAGCCGCTCCGGACGTGTAATTCAGTATTATTGCTAACAGTCATGCAGACTAATAGAAATATTCTTCTCACTCCGGAGGAAAGCTTTTAAACCAGAAGGGAAGAGAAAGTGATCCGGTCTATAACCTATAAGTCTATAGGTGCCATCAGGATGTACATCGCTGCTGTTTTTCTCCAGATTTTGTTCATTATTTTGACCATTTAGCTGTTTTACATATATGTTTAACTCATCCCCGAAACTCATCAGTTACATTTTCTTTTATTGTTCTTTTAACGCTTTATTAATATACTGTATCGTCTTGCGTATGTTGCAATACTTTATTTTGTTTTTATAGATATTTTACCCTCGTGTATCTTTAGCTTTTGCATCTAAAGTCTGGGTGTGTGAAATTCCCCACTAAGGGACAATAAAGTTTATTTCTATCATATAATACTCAATGACTGTGCAATTAAGTTAGGATCATTAGCTGCGGTCTTTTAAGAAGTAACATACCGGTTTTAATCCATTGTTCATTGTTTGACTAATGAAAGCTGCTCCTCATGAGTTGGAAGAGTGAGGATATTAAAGCTTAGCTGGTTTATGTTCTCATAACGCAGCAAGTCTTTTGACCTTATAAGCATACTTTGCTGCTGTTGTCTTTAGGTGTGTGGATTAAAGGATCTCCAAGGAATAACTTTTCTAATCTATCAGGAT